ATATTCTCATTCTCATTTCAATGAACAGTTCATTATGCAAAATAGGAAAATAGTATTTCAAATGTCAAATCTTTTACAAGCAATTTTATTCCAGGTATTTGCATTCTGAAAATCTTCAATTTTCCTTTCTTTTTTCTTCCATTCTATTCTAATGTATGAAGGATGATGGGATGAGTTATCCTAGATCTGAAGTGGAGCCCATAGCTTAACCTAAACAGCATTGAATGACTGTGAATCTGGATATGGGGACTTTCAATTTTTAGCTCTGGATGGAGTTGCACTCCCCTGGGAGATCTATTGCTCAATTTGTTTACCTTTCGGCTACTCTGCTCATTATCATTCATGCTTTAGTCACCTCCTATCTTAATAAACTACATTAGTCATCTCCTGCCTGAAAAAAAAAACCTCTAGATTGAAGCCATAGTTGGTTCAGAAGACAGGGTGACAGGCCATCATTACTTTGTCAGCTGCGCTAGCTTCCTGTAGGCTTTCAAATACAATTCAAAATGTTGCTTATCACCTCTAAAGCCCTTCATGGCTGTAAACCCTGGAAGGAAACTGGCTCAATAGAAAGATTAGAGTTATTGAACTTATAGAGATAAGCTATTGTAATAGAATCTTGCAACCCTGATTTACCTCTCCTACCTATTATCAAGGAGGAACCTGTCTCTTCTTCTTTCTCAGAATATAAGGAGAGTTTCAGTGTTCTTTACTTATGTGGTTATTCTTGCCTATTTCCCTCAAGGTCAGTGCTCTGACTCTTTGGAATGGCCCAGGTGAGTCATCTATCTCCAGTTATTGGGGCTCATTCCATGAGATCTAACAAGACTGGGCATGCTTTGAGTCCCTTCTATGAAATGATAACATCTAGTAGGTCTCAGGAAGCATGCTTACTTCATCACTTTCCCATTTGAGCAGCATTCTCCCAAGATTCAGGCAACCCTGTTGATGTTCTGAAGACCTTGAAAGCCTGGTTTTGCTTTTGAGCATTGGATCAGGAAGTCACACAAAGAAGACCATTTATCTACTTGTTGGACCTCTAGCAGCAAGGGCATGGATATCTTCATTGTGAAGAGATGGTTGTGAAGATAATCTGGCTTTAAGATGCATAGATTTTGAAAAAAAATAACTCTAGCACGTTAATTGTTCCTGCTAGTCAGTCTAGGCATTGTATGATCCTTGTATATTATACTGGTTGATTTATACTTGATTTTCCACCAATTATAATTTCTGGACAATTTACAAATGTAGCATTGTAATAGCTGAGACTGGTTGTAACTAAGGTGCAATTGAAAGTAAGTCAAAAAAGTTGAGGGATACTTGTTCATTATGAGGTAGTGTAGCCTTCTCAAGAACAAGCTTTACTTCAATCCCCAAAACTGTGTGGGTGATATTGGGAGCGACATGGTGCTCACATGTAACACCTCTCCTACGTGAGCTGCACTGGCTCCCGGTGGTCTTCTGAGTGTGCTTCAAGGAGTTGGTTCTTACCTTTAAAGTGCTCCATGGCTTAGGATTTGGGTACCTACGAGACCACCTTCTGCAACTGATAACCTCCCACCAACCAATACGGTCCCACAGAGTGGGCCTCCTCAGGGTACCATCACTAAAGCAATGTCGACTGGTGGTTCCAAGGGGGGAAGCCTTTTCTGTGGGGGCACCTACCCTTTGGAACAGGATACCCCCAGGGATACGAATTATCCCAGATTTCCGTACTTTCTGTTGTGCACTTAAGACCTTTCTGTTTCACCAAGCCAGGCTAGCATAAATTTCTTCTAATTGTTCTAAATTTTTATGTTGAAGATTCTTAACTGATGAGTTTTTTATCCAAATTGGTTTAATTATTTTAAATTGCTTTATTTCACATTTTATATGTATGTTATTTTGACTGTTCACCGCTCTGAGTCCTTCGGGAGAAGGGTGGTATAAAAATTAAATAAATAAATAATAAATAAATAAATAAATAAATAAATAAATAAATAAATAAATTTGAATGGTCACTAAACAGGGCAGTAGGGTATGAAAAAGGTGTGGAAAAGTGAAGACTATTTGTACTTTAAATCTATGTCTGGTCACTTCTAATAGCAAGACATATTAAGCATTTATTTTTAGACAGGTTTTTTTTTAATTTGATTTATATGCCGCCCTTCTCCAGAGACTCAGGGCGGCTTACAATGCATTAAGCAGTTCTTGTAAACTGTCTTTTAAAATTGTCTTTTAGAACATTAGAACAAGATCCGCTTAGAAAGACTTAATTCAAAAACAAGAAATGTCATAATATTGGAAAGTCAAACCATACAACACTATGGCATAATATTGGAAAGACACAACTGCAGAGTTTCTACTGTATGTTAAAAACTAAACTAATGCAGGAAATGCTGACAATCAGGATTTTAAAATAAATGTACATATTTTTCTTTCAAGGAATGGAAGAAATAGCCTTTATCTTTCATAATTTGTTGTTGCTGTAGTAACAGCCCTGATATAACCTGATACGTGCTGAAGAGCTAGCATATTTGGCTTTATTGTTTTGTCAAAATATTAAGAATATCAATATATCTCCATAATTCAGTGTAATACAACAAAGCAGTTTCTCACCAGATCTAGCAAAGATTGCATTATACTTTTGAGATCAGAGGTAATGATGACAAAGTGATCTGTGTTCAATTTCAGCATTAATATCTGGCTTGGATAAAGCTTGAAATATGCTCTCCAAGCTAAGAGCCTTTAATATTAAGATCTTTAACCATAATTTATGTGACAGAAGATGGGGTTTAGCATAATAAAATAGAATAGGCACCTAGAATGAAGATGACTTAAAGACAATTGAAAACAAGGTAAAAATGGTAAATTATACACAGCAGTAAATTTACCTTTATGGTATTACCTCATTTATTTTTGATTTGGTAGAGCGTGTAATTTTTCACTTTGCTACATTTGGAATTGGACATTCCTCAAATAGAATACCTCAGGTAAAAAGCTTGGACTTGGGCCTTTTTCACAGAGACAGTTTAGCTCTTTCATTGTTCAGATCTGGTTTATGATAGTTTGCAATTTATTGGCAATCACATGAGGGGCTTGGTGAACATCAGATAGGATTGATTCTATGTTCCAACAATATGGCATAGTGCAACTATGGTATAAATTGAAACATGCCAGCAGGTTGTATCTACAAAAGATGAACAAAAATGACCAAATCAGATTCATAAAGTCAGATGGATACAGCCCAGGGTAGGACATTAAACAAATTAAGCATGTCCTACTTGTGACAAAGAGACAACAATTTAGAATTTTAGACAGCCTTTGCTCGATTTGAAATATTAAAACAGAATATTCAATTTTTCTCAAGCATGGGCTGTATTTAGCTTTTGGAAAGTATGTTTGTAGCTATATACCAATAAATAGGACCAAGACAAAGATTAAGGGTTTTGTTAATTAATATTAAAATATAATTAAAATTAAATACACAATATGATTATTCTTCAGCCATGCATTTAATAGTTTCTCTCTGCTATCACAAATTTTAAAATCTGTAACAATTTGTAGAGCTTTTGGGAATGACGCACAAGATTCTCTGGGGTCAAATGCCATATCTATGATTTAAAGTAAGTTCAGCTAGTTTAATGAACCACATCTGATCTTTGAAATTTGCTGGTCAAAGGATAAGTGGGGGAATAAGTAGGAAAGGACATACTGACCCTTTTGGAAACTCAATTGTGTTAGAGTTTGCAGCAATCCAACCAGCACGCAAGTAAATAATTCAGCAGGATTCATGTATAAAAAAAACTTCTTTATATACAGTAATATAAAGCATGATGCATGTATACAATACCCATGCAGCAGAAGCCAGAACCAGAACTCAGAAGCACAGAACAACAGAAGCAATAATGCAAGGACAAACCAACTCTTATGTATATACAGTTAAACTAAGCCATGCCCAGGCTCTGAATGTCTGACATGCCTCTCAGTCACCAAACAGTTCCATTGGCCTACTTGTTGTTATGGCTATCCCAGCTCATAATTACACTGACAACTTGCTCCTGACTTTGTTGGGTTTCATCCTAAATATGTTATATATTTCATTTTACAGTATAGCTCATATAGGATCTTGAATGGATGATTAGTTGAGGAAATAATTACACTTTTTCCCTCCTAGCCATTTGCTGGTGAGGCAAGAGGATTAAAAAAAGAAGTTAAGATTGCACATCTTATCTGTGCAATCATAAGCCCACATAAGGGCCAGGGCTTCAATTTTAGTTTTATTTATTTATTATTATTATTATAAGTAACTCAAGATAGCAAACATATATAAAACTCCTTCCTCCTTCTATTTTCCCCACAACATCCCTATCAGGTGGGTTGAGCTGAGAGAGTGACTGATCCCAAGGCCATGATTTTTATGCCTAAGGCGGGACTAGAACTCACAGTCCGCTAATTTCTAGCCTTGACCACTGGACTAAATTGGCTCTCACACAGAATCAAGTACAATCTAGTCAGGATTCCCTTAGTGGACATCACTGTGAAATACTTTTGGAAAAAACTGCTTGAAGAAGCTTTACATTTGTGGCATTGAAGGAGAGCTGTTGCTGGGCTAAATGATTACACTGAATGGCAATTTGGTTATGTCTGGCTTTAGATTAAGGCTAAATGGAGGCCCTGGCATAAGGTTCCAAAGATGAGGGAGTCACTCCGATGCCACCCTGTCAGATAATAATCTAAAATAGTGCCACTGAACTACACTGTCTATACTGAAAGGATAATTTTGTGTTTATACTTTCCATCCATTTTTAAGGGACAGAAAGGGGAGTGGCTTAGCCACCCTATAAATATGACCCTCCTTTCTGTCAGCGAAACAGAACACACAAAGAGATACACTGACCTGACAGACTTATCACAGACACTCAACAACAGGCGCTCACTCTGTCAAAATGGCTAGATAAGAAGGGAATATGCTCTAGGCAATTTCACCTAAGAAACAAAATAAAAACCAAGAGACAATGTTCTGTGATTTAAAATGTAAATAGTTTATTGACTTTAAATAAACAATTAAAGTTTTCTTAACAAAAGAAATCTGGCTTAATTGTAGCTGCTAGGACATTGAAAGATCACATTGACCTCTACAACCTAACTAAAAACTATTCTAACACACCCTTCCTTCTGGGTCATTCCAAAAAATGCTAATGCTTACGTTGGTAGCAGGTGGTGCCATCAGTCAATATGGCCTAGGGCACCATGTTGCCTTGAGCCACCATCACTGAATCACTGCTCTTAAAAACTGAAATTGATAGTGCTTTGGTTTCTAGGAATGTAGAGTACCTGGGAATATCCTATGATATGGGAGAATAGAACGTCCTGCCTCCAGTCATGAGATTATTCTTGCGGAACAGAGATATGGAACTTGAAGGTTATTCAAAAGTGATTGCATATAACTGTGCAATGTTATTAATAAGACATTACATAGAACTCTGTATTTGGTAAAAGGGGAAAACAGGAAGAACAAAACAAAAGCAACTGTTATAAATCATATGCATGAAGATCTTAAAGTCAGTCTGACAGAAAACGTTATCTATTTCTTGCTTGAATAGAAACTTAGATTTCAAAACATATGTAGAGTTCCTTCTGGAAGGGATGATCTGAAAGGAACATATTAGTTTCATTCCCAAATGTTTATGGACAGTTTTTTTCTTCTTCTTTCTTCTTCTGAGAATCATCTTCTCACAATTTTATGGGGAACAGAGATTCGGGCATCCTAAGGAGAAATCAAAAGAGTCAAGATGGCTGACGCAAAGAATATAGAAGACATAAAAGACAGGACATTGATTCCTCTGCAGAGATCAGTGAAGACCAGCCTCCTAAGGAACTGAAAACTGTTATTCTCAAAGAAATGATCATTTTCTTATATTTTTATTTTTTTCAACTTATTGATTTGAATAGTTGAATGGTAAAATGGTGTGTGAAAAACATATATTTTAAATATAAGTATATATATTTAAATCTATGTATAAGCTGCCCTGTTTTCCCCAAAATAAGACATCCCCCAATTATAAGCCCAATTGGGGTTTTGAGTGCATGGCAATAAGGCCAAGCACTTATTTCAGGGTTCAAAAAAATATAAGACAGGGTCTTATTTTCGGGGAAATGTGGTAGAAGCTTCTTATACATGCTTACCTATAGCATATAGCTATTTAATCACCTTTAAGAGCTGTAGGCGGCACAGTGGTTAGAATGCAGTATTGCAGGCTAACTCTGCCTGCTGCCAGGAGTTTGATCCTGATTGGCTCAAGGTTGACTCGGCCTTCCATCCTTCTGAGGTCAGTAAAATGAGGACTCAGCAACAGGATGACTCTGTAAACCACTTAGAGAGGACTGTAAAGCACTATGAAGCGGTATATATGTCTAAATGCTATTGTTCCTGCTATTTATATTGAACAGTAAGACTTTGTCTCAAGCAATTTAATTAAACTATACTGGCAGAAATCTAGCAATAACATATCCCAAGATGCATTGGTGTCAAGTGCCACCACAATGTACCTACTCAAGTGTTCCTTGTTTATTCAAAATCAAATTTTGGGGGATGATTGAAACTTGCTGGGAAAGTCAGGATTGACCATTAGGCCCAAGTGTGTGGGGTAGCTTAAAAAAAAATTAAAATCACAAATCATTGCTAAATGTATTATTCACTTATTTTACTTTGAATAGTGGTATTCACTGAACCTTCACAAACAAACAACTTCATAAATAAATCCACAAACTATACTTTCCCCACCCTTTTATGCTAATATTTTTAAACGGTATACTGTAATTATTATTATTTTTTTGCATAATGCAGCATCCACATTTTTGTTCTTCCTTTAAAGGATGAAAGCTTATACAGACTACAACAGATGCTTACTCTGGGTTTTCAGACTTCTGCTTTCAATCCATATGTCTGGTGAAATCACTGTCTGTACTATGCAGGTCATTGTAATAAAAATGTAACCAACCAAAAGGATATTGCACTGTTGATCATCTGCCATTCAATCCTGGATTTTAATCTGAATTCCAAGAGCAGAGGTATGAGCATTATTGTGAATTACAATTGCATTGTGAAGTCTGAGAAAATTACCCACCTTCCTTCAGAGGAACCTAGGAGGATGAGGTTCTTTAATTGCTTTCATTAGGATATGACTGCATGATTATATTATGCAGCCTGCCACATTTGCTTCCTGTTCTTTTATATTGATACAGACTATATCTACTTGAAATGCAGAAGAAGTAATAATTTAAGATATTCTTGGCTCTTCAGATAGGAAAAAAAATTGTAATGCAGTTCTAAATGAAATAGAGGTTTTGCAGTTGAGGATATTGTGATCTGATGTATATCACTGCACATGTGGCAATAATTTATATAACTTTATTGATTCAATTCTGCCTTTAACTCGTACAGTTTAAATGCCCCCATAAGCACTGCATTTGTGTCTGATGGTATTAATCTCAAATGTGTTCACAGAAAGGAAGTGAATGGATGCAAAGAGAAGTAGGGTCCAAACAGATGGCATGAAGGGTTTTAGGATAAAGAGAGAGCTGATGAAAATTTTCTCTCCTCCATCAGCAAGCGTCTGCTAAACTGAGTCCAATTCTTCTGAAATGAAGGAACACAGAAAGGCTGGAATCTTCTGAATCCAATATTACATGTACACACAGAGAGAGAGGGAGGGAGGGAGGGAGGGAGGGAGAGGGAGGGAGGGAGGGAGGGAGGGAGGGGGGAGTAAGTTTGATGTAGAGGTTAAGGCACCAGGCTAGAAACCAGGACATTGGGAGTTCTAGGTCTGCTTTAGGCATGAAGCTAGCCGGATGACTTTGAGCCAGTCACATTCGGTCTGCCCTAGGAAGAAGGAAATGGCAAACTATTTCTGAAATCTTGCAGTTAAAACAGTAGAGACTTCTCTAGGCAGTTGCCAGGATTCAACATTGCCTCATAGGTCAATGTGTGTGTGTGTGTGTGTGTGTGTGTGTGTGTATACATACATACATACATACATACATACATACATATATGTAATATTTTCCAATATTACAATTAAATCTGCATAGACAATCACAAGACATTATTGCTTCCCCAGCAGGACAAAATAAACACAAAAGAATGGAAAGACTATATCTTATTATAATAAAGGTTAATCTATTATAAACAATTAATCTCTCACCAGAGTTAACCTATTGTACGCCACAAGCACAAAAGAAAAAAATTGAATAAAATAGCATATTTAAAATTGAAAAAATTCTACTGGAACATTCTAATTCAAATATTAATGCCAAGAGATGGGATTCAAGTTTATCTTTATTTAAACTACTCATACTGAAATAAACCTAATATAATTTAGTTTAAAAAAATAGAGGGAACTACTTATGAGTGGTTGTATAAGAAACCAAACTTGATAGAAAAGAATATATGTAGAAGTTTAATTATCCAACTAAGTAACATCAGACTCAGAAAGGACCAAGGATTCAAAACCTAATTATTTTAAAACAGTTCCTTTTCTCAAAACAATTTCTAATTTTAATGGATCTTTATGTTACACATGCTTTTTAAAATAGACAAATTCAGATTTCTTCCTTTCTTGATACATTTTGTCAATTTTTACAAAATATTAAAAATAGTGATATGGATAAAAAAGGCTTTTATCCGTATCAGAGAATGCGAGAAAGGCATCACCAGAAAGCAAACAATTCTTCAATTGCTTCCATTCATTCCCACATTCTCTCTTTTGTTTTAAAGAATGGTGCTCCTGTCCTCTCTTATTACAATATTTAGTATTCGAATCCACATCCTCCGTGATGTTTTTAAAGAGAAATTTAATCTTGTTTCATTCAAAAAGTTTTTAATACCATTTATTTCTTTTCAGTTATTTTCTTTTTTCTTTTGCCATGTGTTAACAATGAGTAAATCTTTTCTTTAAGGGGAGGAAGATAAAATAATGCTCTTTTATTTAATTGAATGAGATAGCTATCCTTTCTGTAACAGTTAACTATCATTAAAGAACAGGGTCACCAAGAAAAATATATTTAAGGTCATAAAATCCCCACAAATATTCTTAATAGATTCAATATAACCAAATTTTAGAATGTCATATGCAGTGTGATGGCATTAAATAAAGATATTAAAACATATTGAAACAATTTCTGTGAATTTTACTTTCTAAGCTAATGACTTTTACCAAGATATATTCGTATCTAGTGTAGAATGTTATAGAATTTGATTACAGCACCATCTACTGGGTATTAAATCTCTCCCCTCTCTGCCATGCCTTTTTGAATCTTCCCTTCTCTGTTGAAATAAAAAGACCTGAAAACTTTTTTAAAAATTAAACAACTACAAGTGTCTGCTGCTTTTCCACCAATCTGTCTATTTACCTAGCTATCACAATATTGAAGGGACACGATTAACATTTCACATTCATATGCTTGAAGAATCCTTCTGATTGGGATGGATTTAGAAGGCCAAGTTTTAACACTGAAACAATGGCTTTACTATCCCAGTGTTCGTATAATCCAGCATACATAGGATTAGGAAACAATCTGTTGACAGAAAAAATACATTGAATTACTAAAGAAGAAACATTTCAGGCTGAAACATGTTAAATTACAATTTCCTTCCTTCCTTCCTTCCTTCCTTCCTTCCTTCCTTCCTTCCTTCCTTCCTCCTTCCTCCCTCCCTCCCTCCCTCCCTCCCTCCCTCCCTCCCTCCCTCCAGTTTTCCTGGGCTCAATGGGTCTTACTTTCCCATTTTACTTTTCCTCAGATTGTATCGTGTCTCACACACAATACTTGCACCACATTTATCAAGCTACCTGGACTACTAAGCCAACTGCCAGTAGCTTTTTAGTGATGCACTAAGTGGTCTTAAATTACAAGGGAGTTTAAGGATGAAGCAATCATATAATATTTTTGCGGATCATTCAGACCATTTTGTTCACAAGCTACTTTGCCCTAGAAAATAATAAACACCAGCAACTTTAGCCATAATTGCTACACTATTAACCCTATAGAATATTAGAATGTAATATATTGACTAGAGACAATCCAAATAATTAGAATAATTGAACATATATACTTCCCCATTTTCTTTTATTAGCTGCTTTTTTTTTAAACAAAATGTGGAATAAACAAAATGCTACATGGTGCCATGAGACAGCAGTGTTTAGCTTTTAGATTTTTCATGACAGCAAGAAACTTGTAGGATGCCAAAAAGATGTCTGTCTTAATCATATGGTTGAGTGATATAGACAACTGCCTTTCCAAGTTCTTAATAATAACATACAGGAAGCTTTTAAGTAGTGATCATTCATCTTTGGACTAATATTCCAGAGGATAGGATGGGATACATTGCTTTTTTTCTTCTTCTTTGCCTCACACAGATTTAAGCAACTGCATACATAATGGATTCTTGCCTAATTTGAATGAAACGGTCTCACCTCCATTTTCTTTCTCTTCGTTAGTGCGCTGTTAAATTCACCCTGTTACCTGAAGAGATGGTGGATTCTCTTTCATTGGCTGTGTTAAAACAGAGGCTAGGCAGCTATCTGCCTGGGGTGCTTTAATCTGGTCTCTCGTATTGAAGAATTGTGCAATGGGCAGACAATGTGATTATTTCCTAAATAATTATTTCCTAAATGATTGTTTCCAGCTGTAGTTTTCAATGATTCAATGACTCTTCAATAAGTCACCTAACTGGTCCATCTGATTCCAATCTATTGTGATGCCATCTATCTATCTGTCTGTCTGTCTGTCTGTCTGTCTGTCTGTATATGTATATGTATATATGCAATTATATGGGCTCATGCAATAGAATCCACTTACTATGAGTATACAAATAGAAAGTGGAATCTACTTCATAAGTTGAATGGTTGATACGTTTTTAAAGAAAAGGGTTAGGACACATTTGCCATTTTATAAACATCATTTCTAATCTCTAAAATTTCCATTTTGGAAATAATCTTCCTTAAATTCAGCCAGTTACTTTTGAGTAGACACGAATAGGATTGTGTTCATGTCTACTTAAAATAGCAATGTTTTCCCCCTCTTCATTTTTATATGCAGTAATATAACTTTTGATCAGGCCTGAGATTTACACTTTAGGTCCTTTGCTAATAATCAAAGGTTTTAATGCCAACAGTAATAAGACATGAGGCAATGATAAAACCATTTATCATTTTGTTTAACATGCCTATCAGAAGTGAAGCAAATGCTCATATTATTATGTATGTTATGTATCCCGTACAAAAAGCAAAGTGTGCAATGCCTTTTTCGTCTGGCTGTGACATTTTTACTGGGAACATTTGTAGAATTTGAAAATCAAATGCAGAACTATCACTGACTGAAAGACAGCTACTAAAATTAGCATTTTAATTCCCTATAACTATAGTGTGATAGAGAAATACACTCTAAAACCAAATCAATTCATTTTCGAAAACAGAAGGTGACGAATTTTAACAAAAGAGAAATCTTTGACCAGGAGTATTGTAAATAGGAGATTGACAACATGTGAGCCATATGAAACTTGCCAGCATCACCTTTGTGGCTCTCTAGTATACCACTGTCACAAAATCAACCAATGGAAGACATTTGGCAGCATAAAGAGGCCTTCAATTTCCATCCTTATTTTCGCTAACCCCTGAAAATGATACATAATTGCACTGTGAAATTCAGCCATTTTGACACCATTTGGGGGAAGTATGGGACGCTTTTAAAGGATGGAAATGGCAGCAGTTTGCTACCCAGAAGCTTTCTGCTCCCATTTCTACCCTTAAAAAAATCTTTCAAAAATAAATAAAAAATAAAAAGGCAAAAGAAATTAGCCCCACCCTTCCTGTAACATGACCACCCTTCTTCTACAGTTACTTGTAGTCCTGCTTCTTGAAGACATTAGTTGTTCTTGATCTTTGAAAAAAAAATTCCCATCCCTAACATAAATACTCACATACACATATGTACAGTATACAGAATATACAGTTGTAGCATTAGCAGCTTCCAAGTATGAGTTCCCCATTGCTAGAGAATACAAATAGAGATCCAATAATTTCTGCCAGCTTTAGAGTATGGGCAAATTTTTGTTCACGTACAACCAGGTTGTGATCCTGGTAATTGTCATGAATGACTGAGTGAAATAATATTCTTTATAAACTGAAACATTTTAGAATCCAAAATTACAATTCTTTTTTTACAGCAATAAACCCTGCCCCCCCAAAAAAAAACTCAGAAAAGGAGGATGGTGTTTTCCTGCATAATTAAGAAAAAAAAGCAGAAATTATCATTGAGCAAACAGATATCAGTATTACAGATGTTATGTAGTACAGTACTGAATACCTGCCTTACGGGTTAATTGATTATTTTTGTATATGTGCATATGTAAATGTTTATTTATTTAAAAGATTTATATGGCTGTCCATCTTAATGGCTTACAAAAATTTTAAAAATCATTAAAGAAAACAATAAAGAAAAAAATCTGTGCTGTAATTGTTCCCTCAGGTGGCCCCACAGCAGACTCAGCTACCCTTCTTCCATGCCTTCCACCCACACAAATGTCAACACTTTATTAAAAAGCAAATCTTAATTGGCTTCTGAAAGTCTATTAGATGAGAGGATAGAGTCATTATTATTGCAGATGAGGCAGACCACAAAGAGAAGCACCTCTAGGAGTAGCATGAGGTAGAGCAGAAGTGACAAACTCACATTGTCATGGCGGCATCACAGGACATATCAGGACTTCCCCCTCTTCACTAAACCAGGCGTGGGTGTGGCCAGCATGTGACACATCTGGCCCCTGGGCCGGAAGTTTGACAGCCCTGAGGTAAGGGTAGATCTTCTCATGAGCATCACAAGTTCCTTCATTTTGTTTATCAATTTCTCTGAATGAGAAATCATTTAAAAAAAATTTCTATCCCTCAGAGCAATCTTTGATTACGATACAGTTGATGCTCCATGCTGTCTTCTTTTAAATGATCATTAAAGATATGCCGATCTATACCCAGCAGCTTATAGGAGAGCAATTTATATAGTACCGTATAACCCAAGACTAGATTGCCTTTTGCCATTTTTGTATTTATATTTAAAAGTATTGGTGATTTTATTATAATATTTTAGTTAAGATAGTTGTTGGTGTTTTGTGCTGCATGGGGCTTATCTGGGAGGATATACAGTAGACAAAACAAACATTGTGAGCTTATTTATTTTGGTCAACAACTACCAAGTTTCCAGCAAAAAGTAATGGTAGGTTCTGAAGATCAAGCTGATTTAAATGAGTTTAAAACCTGAAGAATTAATGATGGCAAAATTATGTGATTCAGCTTTAACTCAAAGTTGTTCCTGTTGTTGATTTTTTATAAAGTTTATTGAATGATAGAAAGTATCTTTTTAATATACACATTTAGCAAATTATTCTCTAAATTTACATTATTACAGCTTTATGATCAGTAATGAGATCAATTATTTTTTCTTACTTTTAAAAAGATGAAATTTTAGATTGTTATCTTTACCTAAGCTAATTATTATATTTTTCAATCCCAAATTCTTAAAAATATTTGATTTAAATCCATTTGAATAGCAGGGCATGGGTAAAGCATTTTTATCTTCTTGGGGAGACATATTCTTTTTTTCCCAGTTCCACACAAATGTGAATTTTTGTTAGCTGAAGGAGAGATGGAACGCTTCTGTCCAATGAGCTGTCAATCAGATCCAGCAGGAGGGAAATGATCTATCAGGAAGTGCTGTTTGGTGAAGTCCTAGAAGAGAGCCTTTCCTACTGTGGTTCTTGACCTCTGGAACATCATCCAATTCAATCCTGTTGGATTTTTACAAGTCCTTGAAAATATTATAATGCCAACAGACATGGGGCCCCTGTGTATGGTAAAGCCCACGCAGTAGCTATATTGAGGTGATGGCTGTGGAGATGATCACCTTGGCTATGAATTTTGTTTTATGATTTTATATTGTTTTTATTATTTATTATTTATTTGTATCCTAATTTTCTTATTTTTACAAATAACTCAAGGTGGTGAACATATACAACACACCTTCCTCCTCCTATTTCCCCCAGATCAACAACCCTGTCATTGTGCTGAGAGAGAATGACTGGCCCAAAATCATCCAGCTGGCTTTCATGGCTAAGGTGGGACTTGAACTTACTGTCTCTCACTTTCTAGCCTACTGCCTTAGCTACTAAACTGGCTCTCTTTTATATTGGTTTGCTGGTTTTACTCTGTTTTTTAATTGTTTGTGAAGCTGCCCAGTCTGTATGTGAAGATTTGTATCTATATAAATGTGATGATAGACAGATAGATTTTAAAATTCATATGCTTTTCTGTTCATCATCAAGATTATACCTGACATACTTGTAAATTACCTTAGCTTTTAGTATCAAAATATACAGTAATTGGGATCAAGAAATGAATTGTTAAAACAATAGCACTTAAACTTATATACGGCTTCACAGCCCTCTCTAAGCAGTTTAGAGAGTCAGTGTATTGCTCCCAACTATCTGGATCCTCATTTTACTGACCTCAGAAGGATGGAAGGCTGAGTCAACTTGACCTGTCAAACTGTTGGCAGTCAGCAATCAGCAGAATTAGCCTGCAGTACTGCATTCTAACCACTGCATCACTATGGCTCTCCCTTGTGCTTATTTCATTGGGTGCTAGGTGGACCTATTTAAGCAGGGGTTATCTGTCAATATCATACAAATGTATTGGGACAATAAATCATTGAATTTCAAGTAGAATGAAACTGGTCTTGTGGTCCTCCCCTTGGTTAGAATTAGCTGAAATTAGCTGAAATGGGGGATGCAGTGGGAATTGTTGGAAATGCTCTCTGTCTGTTTATTTTATCTCCAAACACTCCTCATTGGTATATTTGTAATAAAGCATTTTTCCAATTTTAAATAGTATAGTATAGTTTATTGAATAGCCCGAAGTCCTTTTCAAACAAAACAGAATTTTAAATATGATACAAATGAACAACACTTGTTTGATTATCTCTCACAGGAAGGAAACTATGTCTGACTATGGGTACCCTTAAATTGCTTGGATGAACAGTTTTACCTGCCACTGACATTTTGCTGGAGCTGCAGAACTTAATGTGTGAAAAATTCATTTCTAGATTTAATATCTCTCAGCCCCCTTTAAGTTTCCCAGTACTATTTTCTTAATTTTGAATTGAAATTCCATTGCTGTAGGCGAGAACCCCTATGAATGGAAGATTTGGGTAAAGGAAGGACATTCTGATCTATATCAATATTTCCTATTGAACGTTTTTGACTGTCTCTCTTTTAGAAAGAACTGGAATTCTTACTCATATATGTCTAAAATGGCATGGGAGGAACACATCCTGAATTGCAACATAGAGACTCATACTCATGGATCTGTACTATGTTTATCATACAGTCCTATTTCAACAACAATGACAAAACTGTCATATGGTTGTCTCCAGTTCCAAATAAAAGTTTAACCCAGCATTCCAAAGACAATACTGATGTGTGACATATACATATAAAATGAAAAATGTTCAGACATCTTTGCATGTGACTTTAATACTCTAATGAAAGATGTTCAGAACATGAGATATGATCAATTGTCTTTCACACATATGAATTTTACTAAGCCAGTAATCCATAATTTAAAGAACTTTTTTAAACAATTTAATAAAGAGGTTATTTTACACTTAGATCTGCAAAACACTCAAACCTCCAGCACATTTCCTTTGTGAAATATCCTTCTACATGAAAATATAGACAGTTAGTTTTTTCTTCCAAAGTGAAACACTGCAAGGTCTTTCATTACTGGTTTATTATGCTTTCTGTATCTTTGCTCATTTTTCACTAGTATTGCATTAAGTATTGATATTGATTTCTTGTAAATGGTACTGAAATGGATGGCTCACAGTTTTTGTTATTGTTCTGTAGCACTTGTATGCAATTTATTATAGCTGCTGTGGAACCTACCCATGCCTGCCAGAGCTTAAATTAAATGTGCCATATTTGGCCATTGGTAGTCATCTTGGATCTAAAACTATGTGGATAAAGTTAATTTTACAGTGACTTCTTGGATACTACCTAACGTATGATTTCATTATGTTTAATTATGAGTGTATACTGGTAGATGTATGAAATGATATATCCACCTAGCCATCTTTGAGAAATATTTTAGGTTTACTCTGCAAAAGAGATTCTTTCCCCTTCCCACAAAATAGCTGACAATGTCAGCAGCCTTGGTGTCACAGAATCTCATTCTTATGGATTAAAGTGAAATTTAAAGCATCCTTTTTTTTCTCTTGAGTTGTTCTGTTTCTGTCAATTGCTAGTTCTATTGACTGTCAATTCACTTATTTCGAATTACATATTCGAATTTGGATAGGAGACAGTAATGGAAGGAATATTTTTCTGGTAGAATGAATATTTCCATTGGAGGCAGACTTCTGTCTCAGCATATAAGTATTTGAATTCAATTGCTGGCTGGAACTCAGCTACAGCATCCCAGCACAGACTATGAACTTTGTGCAGCTCAGAAAAAATAATTATTATTTTTACTGAATATGAGGATTGTTCGTTTACAGATTTCAAAAATTCACAGACAGAGCTTAATCACTTACTTTGCAATGTATCCTAATCTTTGTAGAGTTTCTTTTTAATTTAAGGAAGCTCTTAATATCTCTTCCTCCACAAGTCCTGCTATGTTGCCCCATCATGATTGTGAAGGATGTTCCTAGAAAGGATTGATGAAGAATGCCAGAGTATAAACCATAAGTATATTCTCCCAGCATGATAGTCATCCCAATTGTTCAGTTAATGCAAGCAGGCATTATATTGGGTAGAGTCATGCAGAAAAATGCTATAGGCAAATATTTATTTTAACAACAACAACAACAATAACAACAATGCTGAGAGAAGACAATGGTAAAGCATATCTATAGTTTATCAAAAATACCACATGCATAGAGAAGATTGAATGATTGATGATTTAATGCTGGAAGATTAGATATATTCAACATGTTACAGAGGAAAAACTGAGGATCTTTCAGAGTACTAGCCATGATTGCGATGTGGCTAGATTAAAACCTCCAATTGTTGATGTTGTCTTACAAGAAAAGAAAATCCAAAACTGCAAATACAGCATCAGAATAGGAACGTAAGAAGCATAAACATGGAAAAATGCAGTACAGTGAAAGATGAAATGAATTACCGGTAACTACCCATTAATATCAGCAAATCGAAATGTATTGGATTTCAGTACATTCATTCAGAAGGTCATGCTGTTTATACTCAGAACAAAGAAAAAATTATGTTCCCTTGTGTGTATATAGGACAGTACTTGGGTGCAATATACTGATCAAATAATATCAGATATCCAACTTTATTCTTCAATACTGATGCGGAGGAAGAGGTGTTTGATCAACCTTGTAACTGATAGACAAGATGTGCTGCTTCTGGATAGAGACTGGAATACTGGAAACACTAAAAAGGAGAATGTAGTGGACTATGTGATTCAGGAAATCAAAATAAAACTGGAGGATGAGTTATCAGTTTCTGCCAATTCAATGAATTCTTCATTGTTGAGGAAACAAAACAAAAATATCAAAATAATGTAATATAATCATGAGCACAATGCTGGCAAGGAAAAGCATTATATAGTCAATTTCTGCAAAAGACTGAGAGAAAAGTGGATAAAGATAAAACCTGGCAATGATTTATAACTAAAACATTAAAAAAAGAAACTGAAGGCCTGTTTTTTTGCTGCTGAAAAGCAAATTATTCAAAGTAATGCAATCAAGGCCAAA